ATCATTGTTCTACAAATAGTTGACTTTAAAAAATTTCGTACAACATGGAATGTAAGAAACCATTGAATTTAAGACACACCAGTTTTTTCGTTGGTATAGTATGGAATTTGATGAATAAAATGTTTTAATATCAGAACTTCGGAATAATGGAGATAGAAATCTTTTTTTGGTTACAATATACTTAATAAGTAATTGAATATTGAAAAAAACCTTACATCGTTTCCAGTACTATCTATAAATTTATTAAACGGCCATCTCTTTTTCTAAAAGTGGAGTATCTGAGGGTATAATTGGATGATGATTAAAAAAATTAAACCGCGAATAATTTACGTTTTTTAAAAACAGAACATGGTTTAGTTTTAGTCCTGTTTAATTGGTTTTAATGACAAATTATAATATTATTTAAAGTAAATGTTGTCTACTGTACCGTGAAGGAATCGTTAATTACTTAAATTAAATATTTCTTGTTACGTCATTTCAATTAACACAAAGCATGACGCTTGAAAAACACAAAACTTTTATTTCAAATTCAAAATATGAAATTTTTTGTTGCTCTTTAAGTCGGTAATCACTCCTATTAAAATTCCCCTCTACTTACGGGACACTCTATATATAAAAAATTAAGGTATCAAGAGAGATCTGTTATTTTTCCATAGACATCCATATAATGAATTAGATAAATAACAAAAAAAATATCCATAAATGAATAAAATAATTTGATTTTATACCGATCATTTATAATAGATTTTATATATAATAGTTATTAATTACGGTTCTAATAATGGAACAGTAATTCATTAATGCGAATACTATCAATAAGAATATTTGTATCACCATACAATTCAATTATAAAATTCCAAGAATTAATTATTTGACTTAAATAATTGACATAAATATAAAAATTATTCAACTGAACTTATTTCCATCAGAAGTAATTACCGTACATTACGAAAAAAAAAAAAAAAAAAAATCAAAATATGAACTGAATGTTATAGTTTAAATGCTCATTAATTCTTAATTCAAATTAATATTGAATAATTTATCATTTCATGTACTTATTACTATATGAGGTATTTAATTATTTCATTTAAAAAATAAAAAAATAAATGAATTAAACTGATGTGCTAACGAATCTTACTTTATTTATTTGTTTTCATTTCCTTTCCAATTAAGAATCTGTTATTTATTGCAAGGAGAAAAAAATTGTTTAATTTATTACACTCGAGGATTTACAGAGCATATAATTTTTAACACAATTCAAAATTGAGGAAATTTATTATAATCTTTAAAAATTTACAAATAAAATTATGGTACTTTATAAACTTTTCCTTCCGTAATAATTTACTTAAATCCACTGCTCGTGTAGTTCAAAATAGCCTTTTTAAAGTTTTGAGGATTTGAAGGTTAGGCAACGTAACATGATTTCACAAGAATGTCCTAAACTGGTCTAAATAATTTTTAAAAAATCGTGTTTAAAATGTCGGATTATTAATTTGTGATGAAAATTGAGTATCTATTAAAATAAATGCGTTGAACATAACTAAATATATATAATTAATTCAACGAATAATAAATTCTTGGACCAACGCAACGTAACAATTTTAAGGATTTTTTTATTTTTCCTTTTTTTACATCAACATGGATTAGTTATATTTAAATACTTTTAACAATATTTTTTAAATTGTTATCGAAGTTCATTATTTTCTAAACTACCAGTATCAAATCTAACAGTTTTGTTCTGTGATAAAAGCCTGTTTTAATTAATAATTTCCTAAAAAATTAATTTTTTTTAGCACGGATTATGTATCAAAAAACGTTAACTGAAATATACATAATATCTTTTATGCAATAGACACGATAATATAATATTATATCAATAGAATAAAGGCTGTATATAAATTGTTAAGTCTCAGGCGACAAGGAGTTGAATGTTTTGTTTACATCTCAAGTATTCTATCAACATTAGGCTTTAACCGCGGTAAATGCAAACTGTGTTGAATTCCCTAGAGGATATTGAAAGAATCCTTGCGAGTAAACATTCTAGAAATATATATATATATATATATATATATATATATATATATATATATTGTTCCTATATATATATATATATATATATATATATATATATTATATATATATATATATATATATATAGGAACAATATGTAATGTTAACATATTGAATAAGGATAGAAGTAAAATATAATTGCTATTTAAAGTAGAAATACGGAAAAATTATAATAAAATTAACTTACAACTATAGCGATAATTACAATGCTAAAATTTCAACTTTTCTAAATATTGTTAATGTAATATTCTCTTTAACGTAAATCACCAAAATACAAATAAATAAATATATATATATATATATATATATATATATATATATATATATATATATATATATATATATATATATATACATATATATATATAATTCATTTAATGGTAATAAATAAAAATAAAAGAGTGTTTATGCACAGTATTCTAAATGTAAACATCGTATCAGCTAGCGAAAAGTTTCAATTAATTTGAGTTTTAAAATTGAGAAATACAATTAATTATATTACTTATGAAATATTTAAAAAAATTGATAATTTTATATCGGTTAATTTTTTATTTAAAGTGGGAGAAAAAGAGATCATTTTTTTTTATCGAATATTCCGTGCTTCCAGAGGAGACTAGTGGTACATAACTAAATATTAATAAATATGTTTCTTAAATAACATAAATAATTAGAATAATAAATCGAAAATAAATAAAAATTATTAATTTGAAGTTATCTAAATATTTTCAACAATACTATAGCTAATAACTGACAAAATTATTATCAAATCTATAGTGTAAGATGTTCTCAGGATATTTGCAGAGAGGATAAATACAAGTGAACTGACTCTGAACACGTGGATTTAAGTTTTCAAAGTAAGAATTTATTTATTTTTATAAATGAATAAATCTTTTAGGATGTTTATAAATAAATTTAATATTGATAATTTGAAATATATTTATTAACCAATAATATTAATAAAAAAAGAATATTGTGCTTATTCAAACCATCGCTCCAGCTTATAATATGATAAGATATCAGACACAGAAGAAATCCCCTGAACGTGAGGGTGATAAGAGGAAGAAAATTTGACCCTCTTGAGAAAAAGCCAAATAACTGATAAAAAATGGAGAAATTTTTTTAAAAAATAATTATTTAATTTTTTTTTTAATTGCATAACCTTGGGAGTAGGGAGTAGATAATAATAAATTTGTTTATTAAAACAAAAACTGTTAGTTGACTGTTGTTTACATCAACATTTGAGTTGATTTCGATACACTTGTACTTCCTAGTTTCAAAGTTCAGAGAATTAAATGAAGTTATTTTTGCTTTTTATTTTATTTTTTGAGTAGGCAATACCTAATGCCAATTTAATTTTTTTTTTCTAAAAGTAATACGCATATGTATGTAATAATTTATATATGTTTAAGAGTTATATACGTTTCTTTCTTTTTTTAATAATTTGTATTTCAGTTATCGGAGTAAAGCCATATCAAAATACAGAGAAAACGTCATAATAATAAAAACAAAAACAAAAATTCTGTTTTCCGTTAAATTCTCAAGAAATGTATTATATTATATATATGATTATAGATAAATTTTGTTTGATATTGATCTGTTTATCTTCTGAGTTTCAAAGCCCAGAAGTTATACGTATTTTTATTGTTTTTCGAAGAATAACGCAATAATGCGCACATAAAAAAAAAAGTACAAATTTGTATATGTTTATTTATGTTTCAGGGTTATATATTTTTGTTGTTATATTTGTAGTATTTCTTTTAGAAATAACGAATTAATGTCATATAAAAATATAAAGAAAATATAATAAAAAAATCAGTTTTCGGTTAAAATCTCTGAAAATCTTCTAGATTAAATTATATATATTATTATAGATACATTTTGTTTTATATCGATATGAATAAAATTCTGAGTTTCGAAACTCGGAAGTTATGTTTATTTTTATTGTTTTTCTAGAAATAACGCAATCATGCGCATATAAAAAAGTAATAATTTGTATATGTTTATTTATGTTTCAGGGTTATATATCTTTGTTGTTATATTTGTAGTATTACTTTTAGAACGAATTAATGTCATATAAAAATATAAAGAAAATATAATAAAAAAATCAATTTTCGGTTAAAATCTCTGAAAATCTTCTAGATTATATTATATATATTATCACAGATAAATTTTGATTTATATCGAGATGTATAAAATTCTGAGTTTCGAAAATCGGGAGTTATGTATATTTTTTTTTTCTAGAAATAACGCAATAATGCGCATATAAAAACAAGTAATAATTTGTATATGTTTGGAAGTTATATGGGTATATTTGTTGTATTGCTTTTAGTAATAACGCATAAATACAATATAAAGAAAATATAATAATAAAAAAAAATCTATTTTCGGTTAAAATCTTTGGTATTCTTCTAGATTATATTATATATATCGTTATAGACAAATTTTGTTTGATTATAATGTAAACACATTATATTGTATTTGAGTCAAGAACGTCTGAATTTTAATGTCGAAGAGTTATATACGATTGATTCTATTTAGGAAGAACGCAACTATGCCATATAAAAAAAATTAAATAAAAAATTTCGGTTTTTTAAAAAATTGAAAATTGTTCTAGATTTTGATATAGACAAATAATGAATTGTAATTCAGTTAAAATATTTAGAAATAATTAAAGAGTTTATGCAATGTAGTCATTGTTATATTTCAACATGATTGTACCAATATTTTTTTTATTGGTTTCTTGATTGTTTACATTCCGACAACCAATATAGGTCGCAGTGTTTACTATAGGTCTTGGAACAGCTTGTTTATTAAATAAAAACTGGTCGAGAAGTCGATGGAAAGCCGTTCCTGCCAAGTGCGCATTAATGAAAGAACTCGCGCGAGGTGGCGGTAGGGCATAGTACTACTGATAACAAAGATAGACTCACCTTCCATCCTGCAGAACTGTTGCTGTCTCCTTTATCCTTGAAGTACGTCACGTTTTGGACCATCCATTCGTAGATCTGCGACAGCGTGAGCCTCTTGTCGGGGGCCGAGCCTATAGCCTGCGTGATCAAGTCCGCGTAGGACAGATTGCCCCATGCGTTCCTCCTCGAAGAGTTCTTCTTTATCTGCTGGGAAGCTCCAGGTAGGGCGGCGACGACGCCGCACTTCTGTTCTGCCATCTCAACGGAATCAGGCTCGATGAATTCGCCCGGGCGGGGCAGAGGCCAGGTGTTGGAACGAGCCCTGGCCTGCGGTTCGAGCCCCATGTCACCGAGTCCCGACGGGTCCATCCTAATTGAGAAGGCGAAGGAGGGGGGCGCTGAAGAGGAAGAACCGAACAGAACAGCCGCTCAGAAGACACACATGGCAGACGCACAGAAGAGAACGAATATTATAGATAACTACGTCACTAGAGAGAGGAAAAGACACAAGGTGACACGGAGGCGGCCAAGACGGCTCTGAAGTAGAACGCAGAAGAGCGGGACCAGCTGAGAGTGACGTAGGGATGCGCAGTGGCTAGTGCGCAGCCCCTCCACCGAAGCTACAAGTGTCGGTAATTAGTTCAGTACTCGCCGCACTGTCGTTAGTGTTGGGAGCTAGGCAGTTCGTCTCTTCTACAGCACGCATATCTCTAATCTCTATTAACGTACCCACCCATAATCATATCACAGCAGAGACAACGCAATTACTCATTACCTTCTCTTCAGAAAGCACATGAGCACTTGAAATCATTTTCATTAGTTGGGATTGCAGTCACAGAGAAAAATAAATAAAATTAATATTGAATATTTAATAGTTGACCGTTGCATTACAAAGGAAGGAGATAGTCCGGTGTGGCGGTCACAAAAAGGCTAAATAGTGGTAAAACATATTTTTATTAAAAGCCGACGTTTCGACCCGACTTTGTAGGTCTTCTTCAGGGCTATAACGGACAAGCTACCTTTTTGTATCTTGTCCGATCTAGCCCTGAAGAAGACCTGCAAAGTCGGGTCGAAACGTTGGCTTTTAATAAAAATTGTTTTACCACTATTTAACCTTTTAATGACCGCCACCCCGGACCATCTCCTTCCTAAATTAAATTTATGGTTGACCATAGGCCCAAACTTAGAGGGCGATAGTCCTCCCCGCCCAATAAAAATATCGCCCCCCAAAATAAAAATAAAAACAATATTAGTAACACAAGAAGTTAGTCTGAGATGAGGTCAATATATAACAGTATATTTTATTATATTGTCCGTTGTAGATCTTCTAGAGAGCAATATAAGATACAAACAATATATTACTTATTTAATTATACATGAAGAAAACTATATAAGTTAGAATATAGAAAACTAGCCGCCAATGACCCTCTAGGGTAGAGGTGATTACAAATTAAAAAAAAATTATACATGAACAATAAATATTAACTAGATAGCCCGTGCAAAAAATTCGCAGAAAATTTTGTTTAGTGAAAAAATATCAAAACAATATACAAATAAGTAGTTCCTATACATTATGTAAGAAAGGAACTAATATTTTTTCCTTGGATATTCCATTAAGCATAATAGACCAAAATATTTGTACAAATTGATTTGCTAGGACCACAGGTGGATCAAGGGGAGGAGGGGCTTTTGGGTTAAAACCCTCTCCCTCATCTCCCCAAAAATGGTAAAATAGAACCACGTTGTATAGAAAAAAAAATTCAAAAAATACCTCTTAAAGTATGATTGATCGTGTAATTACATTTAAAAGGACTTATGGAATCACTTAAACACCATTTCATATTGGTAATTAGTTTCCTTCTGTTTTTCCAAAGTAATTATCGTAATTTTTATGAAAAAAAAATGTTTCGGGCTGAAGCCCCCCCCCCCTCAAAATTAAATCCTGGATCCGCTAGTGGCTAGGACCTATTTTTAAACGCTGACTGGAAAGATAATAAAAGTAATAAAGACAACATAATGCCCCGATCATGGGATTTTCTAAATTATCAAAAAAAAAAGTAAAATATAGGAACAACCAAATGTCTTTAAGAAATAATAAATTTAATATTTCAGCCAGGAAAAAAAAAATGTAGTAAACTATTCTACTCCTAAATGCAATATCTTTAAAGAAGAATACATTATTAAGTACACCAAAACTAATGGACTGTAGTATCTTTGTTAATTATAGTCCGATTTTTACTTTTTTTTTTTTGTTTTGTAGGTAATTTAGTAATCTTTCTAATTATCATAGGTACAATCCAGAATAAAATGCATACTTTTTGAGTTATTCGCAAATAAAGCTTCTTTTCCTTCATAATTCTTTTTCCATAAGTTCCGGGGGATAGGATTTTTCGCATGTGAAGCAGAATATCTTCAAAATGAGTGGTCAATCATTGGATTTGATGAAGAAGTTATGGCGAACCGACAAAAAAAGCACCTTTTAGAAATAATATATAGGAAAATTACAGTAAATGTAAGTGAAGAACGATTCTGCCGTCGACCCCCAACTAACTTCTGAAATTGAATCCACGGTCGACCATCTCCATACCAATATTAATAACAATTTATCCATATGAATGAAGAAAATATGTAAACTATAATTTTTTTTTTTTCTTCTCTACCTCGCCGTTTAGGCTATACGGGATTTTCCCGGGCCGGAGGGTGAGGGCGGTGAATTTAAAATCCCCTCTGGCACCGGGACGCGAACTCGTACTTTTCTTGTCTCTTAAATCTTCATATATCTGGTTACCAGGCAACTCACGGTGCTGTGCACACGATTTAGCCCATTCGGCCACCCCCCCCCTCCAACTACTATAATCAATAAATAAAGTAGGAAAAGTCGATTAGATGTATAAACTAATGTCTGGAAGTAGGTACGCAAGTGTTTTACCATGCCTTTGTCCCTATTATTGAAATTTTAGTTTACATCAGAACATAATTAGGTTTATGTAGCAACGTATCATGATTTATTAATGTACACCTTTCCATTTTTACGTGGATATTTCATCACATTTCCCTAGGCAAACTTGAAGCAACGGATAATTTAGAGTTCATACAACTACCTCAAAAGAAAATTAAAAATAACTACATGTTAAATAAAAATAAAAATACATAATATAATCAATTGCTGTGTTAACAGCAAATATACCCACTACCAATACACACAAAAAAAATCCTAATATATAAATATATACAAATTTTAATTCATATATTGTATTCTATTGTTCGTTTTACAATTTTAATTTTTATACATAATATATACTTAATGCCTTTGCAGAAGAGCTTTCTATTCACCTCACAAATGGACTTTTTCGATCCAAATACGACATCCTTCAAAAAGCACAACCATTATTTCTCAGCAGAAATATAAAGAACTTTAAACTCCACTAGCTTATAAAGATCCCGAAACGTACCTTACATTCAAAGTCCATATAAAGAAATTGAGATATGTTAGTCAATCACAAATAATAATATCAGAATATATGCAAAAAAAACAGAACTTTTTCGACTGAGTCTCAAGAAACTTATATATTATGCAGTAAATTTATCTACATCACATTTTCCTTCACTGCCCAGCATGCAATGGCTATAGATCAAAATTCCTTCAAAACTTCATCTCAGAATCTTCTGATAACCACAACATCGAATCCATATTGAATATCGATTGTATGGATAAGTTAAATAAAATTTACTATTATATGATGGGAGTACACAAAGTACATAAACAAAATTGTTGATCATAGCCCATGTTCTATTAAGTGTTTGTTTTTAGTTTATCTTAAAATTAATATTTTGTTTATATACATATAAATATTTTATTTCTATTGTGTCTATCGTCGTAACAGGTTCATATAACTATTATTATGCAGTAATCGCTTTATGTTTTTAATTTTTATTGTTATTCATGTTTTTTAAAACCCATTCTAAATGTAAAATATTGTAAATTTTATTTATATTCAAATGATATGTATGTAATTTGTAAAATCATATTATTGTACAATAGCCGAGCTAGGAACTATTTGTATGAGGAACCCCCCAAAAACAGATAAAATAACCATCTATTTATCTACATAATATATACTTTCGAGACTTTTTGGGGAAAGAGCGATTCCATCGCCCCCCCCCCCAAACAAGAATGAAAAGTCTGCTGCTATGTGGTTAGAGTTACAAAATTTGGTTGGAGATTCTATTAAATGATGTTAAAATAATCTAATTAAAAGTGCTATTAAATGTAATTACATGAACAATAATAATTTAAGAGATAATATTTTTATCCACAAATATGATTATATTTTACCATTTTTGGCGGGTCCGAAAGCCCTCTCCCTACTCCGTGCTTGAAAGTCTTTTTTATCATTGATGTTTATAAATTTAATCACTGTTTTCTCATACAAAATGTTGACTACTTTACGGTGGTGTACTTAACATTTAAGTTTTTGAACAATTACTTCTTATTCAATAAAAAACATGACCACCTTAAGAAAAACATATAATTGGTTTAGGTATTTTTCCGTTCGAGATCGGTCTATGCACCAAATGAACTTTTCTGCTAAAAACTTTTCTAGAATCATCGCCCAGAGTTTAAACATTAATATTAACGTTAGCGTGAATGTTATCCTACCTCACTATAACTAGTGTCCGTATGACAGATTGTTGTAATACTCAATAAATATATATATATACTGATATTAATAAACTGAGACACCCTATATGCACAAAGCGCAAAAGAAATTTGTTCAAATCAGGACTAAAACCAAATAAATAATTAAGAAATAAATTTACAACTTGTTAAACAACTTACATCATAATATAACTCGTGTTTTATTAACAGTTCTTTTTACAGCAGTATCAAACTTCAACAACCATTTATGAAATAAGAAAAAAGGCATTCTCAGTCTGGTTCTTTAATAACTCATTTCATCTAAGTAGTTGCAATTAATTTATCAGGTTTTAAAGCTGATAATAAATAACCTTGAATTTATATAATGTTTGGGTGGGAAATTAAAATATCTGGTGTGCGAATCACACGAGTTTCACTTAACACCCTCTTAGCATAAATAAGTATTTTCAGACAAAGGGGAAGTGAAAGTAAAAATTATAGACGCTATATTTATTTATATTTCATTATGGTTATTTTTATTTGTATAAGTACTCAAACATTGTATACAAATTTGAATATTTATATCGGCGTAATCTATACAATTAAATATTAAATAATATCAACAATAGCATTTATGAAAACCGCGTAATATTTTCGGAGTTCGTATTATATTACCTTTGGTTCCTCAATTACAAATATTCTCCGTTACGATTTGTTATTTCTTTTAATTAATTATGGAATTCTTTCATATTTTATATTTAACTATCTTTTATATTAGAGATTAATGTGAAATGGCCAATTTTTTTAAATAAAAAAAAAATAAGGTACGTTAGTCGATGCATATTTTTTTCAATGTGAACATGAATATGAGGACAAGTCCCGCTAAGT